TGAATTTTCTGTCAGCATATTATGTATTTTTTCTTTTCATTCATTCTTTAATTCATTCCAACCTGGCTTCTGGATCCACCATTCCACTATAACTGCTACCATAACTGGTAACCAATGTCACCAGTGACCTCCATATCATTAATTTCAATAGATTTTATGCCCTTATTTTGCTGGACTATTTAGAAGCTTTGGCCAAAGGTAATAAGTTTCCTCCTCATTGCCTTCTGCTCAGCTTTTATGGCATGAGGATTGACTGGTTTTCCTATTACTTCCCTGGTTGCTCTTTTCTGATCATCCTCTCACTGTTAAATGGGAAAATTCCTCAGACAGCTGCTCTAAGGAGCCTAGTTTCCACTTGCTACACTGTCTCTCTAGGCAATTTCATCCACTCCTCTGGCTTAGATTAAAGTATAGTCTAGCCATGTACTGTTGTCTCTAAATTTGATTGTCTCTAGCCAAGAACTCTCACATGACATCTCCATTGTGAGTTTGAAGTGGAACTCTGTCTCTGTGTACCCAAAACTATACCCATACTCTCCCCAACTCCCTGCATGGTCCTGCTCCTTTTCTCATATTTCTCATCTCAGTGAATAGCTTTGCTGCTCATCGGGTTTACCAGGATATCTAAATGTTTTTTCAGTCCATTTCTTTCCATGCCCATGCCACCATCATCTCTTGTCTAGAACACACAAATAACTATCCACCTATCTCTAAATATCTTCTCTTGCCATTCTCAAACCCCCAGAATAGTTAAGGGAATCTTTGTAGTGAATGAAAATCGAATCGTACTATCTTCTTGATTTTTTTTTAAGATTTTATCCATTTATTCATGAGAGACAGAAAGAGAGAGAGAGGGAGAGAGAGAGAAGCAGAGACACAGGCAGAGGGAGAAGCAGGCTCCATGCAGGGAGCCTGATGTGGGACTCGATCCTGGGTCTCCAGGATCAGGCCCTGGGCCGAAGGCAGGCACCAAACCACTGAGCCACCCGGGGATCCTATCTTCTTGGTTAAGATAAATCAATGCTTTCTCATTACTTTTAGGTTACAGTCTCAAATTCTGAGCATGCTTTCTAAGGCCTTGCCTAATTCAGTCCTTGCTTATCTATTTTTTCTCTATTACCTTCCTCTGAAAAAAGTCTCTTGATTTCTCTTTCAAGTATCAGGTTGAAAGCACACTATGAAAAAAATGTATATGCATAATATCCCAGCTTTCATTGGGAAAGCGTTCATCACACTTAAACTTGTTTAAAGACTACACATCCTGACATATTTTGAGATCCACAAGAGCAGGGGTCATGTCTCTCTTGTTCATTCTTCTGTTCTTAGTCTCTGATAATTGAGTGCTTAATAAATATTTATTAAATGAATATTGAATGAATGAATATTTCAGAATATGACCTTGCATTTTAACTTTTCAAATGCAACATAACATCTGGAATTATCTGAGAACAGTGTTTTTTGTGTATTGGTAATTACATGTAATAAGATTCAGCAATGAGAATCTAAAGAGAGCACAGGTACCTTTTCTTGCTGCTTCTTTCCTACACATTTACAAAGGTCAATTTTCTATGAGGAATCTGCTGGAAGACTATATCAGCAAGGGGCCATATTCTTTTAATAAAGTGTTCTTTTTAAGGGCAAAACTGTGAAAGCTTGTAATATGCTCTTGTGCTTCCTAATTCCTAAAGATACCTTAATATGGCCTCTGAGATTGATGCATATAGGGAAAACTAAGCAATTGATCTAAGCAATTGATTAAAACAAAGATAGAATTCTTTAATTAACTAATTGTAAATTACTTTTACTAATTTTTAAAGTCATAAAAATAATTGATAGCCAATGAATGCAAATATACATGAAGGAAACTTCTTCCACCCCCATTTAATGTACTATATATACTTAAGTAATCAAAGTTGACAATCTATTGTGCATCTTCCAAACTGTTTTCATGCTTATATATTATACACAAAATTGTATGCATATAACTAAGAGAACTTGTGTTCATTTGTTTTTAAAAAGCAGAATAAACAATATATGTTCTCTACAACTTGGATTACTCTTTGAATAATTCCACCTCAATAGATACACATTTAATTCATTGTTTTAAACTATGGTTTTCCACAATTTTTTTAATCATAATTAGCATTCATAAGCATTCAAACCATTTTCAGGGCTTTATTACTAGACATACCCCACTATTGTTATACGTGTATTCTTACTCCACACTACTTTTATTTTTGGAGGATACCGTCTCAAAGTGAGATTACTGAGTCAAAGAATATGTGTATGTGTATATATATATTTTAATGTTGATAGCTATTGATTATGTTCTCAAATGATTGTAGAATTTCCTATTTTTAAATCAGCTGTCCTGTCTTCACATTGGCATCTGTCAGTAGTACTCTCCTTCCAGTTTTGGGGTTAAGCTGTCTCTACGACACCTTCCACTGTGAGGAAGCTAGTGGTTCTCTAGTTTTAGTTACTTTCCAAGTTTCCCACTGGGCCATACTTAGACTTTCAGATGACAAACATATTCCGGGGGAGTCTTGAAATGGTATTTGTCAAACTTTTAAAAATATTTTATTTATTTATTTTAGATAGACAGCGTGAATAGGGAGAGGGGCAGAGACAGAGAGGGAGAGGAAATCAAGCAGACTCCACACTGAGTTCAGAGCCCGACCAGGACTCAATCTCACAACTCTGAGGTCATGACCTGAGCTGAACCAAGGGTTTGGATGCTTAACCGACTGAACTACTCAGTTGCCCCCTTACCCACAATCTATTTGTTCTGACTTTCCAGTGGAGATTTGGGGCTACTCTGCAGAAAACATTTCTCCCAAAGTTTTAAACTAAAGTAATTCATGGGCTTCCTCTCCTTTTGGCTCCCTTCACCTTTTCCTTGGCTTCCCTTTTCTTACCATGGCCACATACATCATACTCCAGACCAAAACCTAAAGATAGTGGTGCTGAATCTCCAAATGAACCAAGGAGTGTCTTAAACTGGAACATTTACCCCTTTGAATTTCTTTCCCAATCCCACCATCTTACCTTGCAGGAACTTATTCTGCATTATGTCTTTCTTTTTATTTACCCTGAAAATGTTCATTTTTCTAGATGGTACCCACTCTATTCTTCGCCAACAAATAAGACTCATGGTCTATGTTTAGTGGCAGAAAAGCTAAATGGGAACAAAATGAAATTCTGAATATCTCAGAGAGAATATACATGATAGGATATTTCAAAAATATCCCCATTATGCAATTACATGCATACCTTGACCAAAATACTTAATCCCAAAAATCTAATCCCATGAAAAGGTAGCCTTTAAAATCATCTTCTTTACCCACTCCCTGTAGTACCACTATTAGGTCTTTAAAATGTCCTTATTTCCCTGCCTTTTCTCTACTCTTTAGAACCTGAGCTTAACCAAGATACAGCTTAAAACTCATGCTGGTATTAGATTTTCCATAGAATTTTCCAAGAAAATTCCAAGAATTTTCTTGTCTTTCAAGATTTTGTCTTTAACACATATTATATGTTTCCAGAAATGTGATCATCCTTCATTGACATTTAGGTATATGATCCAGAATTTGCCTCTTCTTAGTTTTTATTTTACCCCATTTCTCTCCCTGTTTTGTTTTATCTGCTCTGATTCAACAATCTGTGAAAGGGTTAGAGTAAGTCCTCAAATGTTGTCCTCAGGTAGGATGCATGGATAGTATGTATTCAGAACTTCTGTTGTTTAAAATGACTTTCTTTTGCCTAGATAGAGGAGTAAAATTTGGGTAGACTTAAGTTCTTGAGTTGCTGTACTTTTTTTTATTCTCAAGTTACTATAGATGTTACCTTATTGTCTTTGAGGTTAGTGTATCACACATGAAAGATCTCATGTTCTTTTGTTCCTCTTTTCTTTGTAAGTAATCATGTTTCTTCAGTGCAGGAGCCTCTAAAGTTGCTTTTTTAACATTGGAGTTTGGAAATTTCACCTAGCTGTGTTTAGGAGTCTATATGCTTCATTAATCTGGCATCAGATTCAGTGATCCATTTCAGTCTGCAAACTCAAGTGTTTCTTCATATTAGGTAAATTTTCTTCTACTTTTTTGTTGTTGAGTTATTATTTCTTCTCTGTTTCTTTTGCTCACTCTGGAGCTCATGCTATTTACATGTTGGAACCCTTGGGTCTGTCCTCCAAGCCTGTTACCTTTACTCTTGAAATATGTATCTTTTTTTTAGGTTTTAGTCTGTTGTATTAGCTTTCTACTATTATTATAACAAATGACCATAAACTTAGTGGCTTAATACATTGCAAATTTACTGTCTTACAGTTCTGTAGGTTAGAAGTTTGACATGAGACTGACCTGGCTGAAATAAAAGTATCAACAGGACTATGTTCCTTTCTAGAGGCTTAATTCTCTAGAAGAGAATCCATACACTAGCCTTTCCAGCTTCTAGAGGCCATCCACATTTTTTGGCTTGTGTTTGATCAGTCCTCTTCTTCTATCTTCAAAGCCAGCAACATTGCATCTCTTTGGCCATTCCTTAGTGGCACATCTCCCTCTCACCATCCTCTTCTGCCTTCCTATTACACTTTTAAGAACCCTTGTTATTACAATGAGCCCACCTGAATAACTGAAGATAACCTCCCAATCTCAAGGCCCTTAATTGAATCAGATCTGAAAATTCTCTTTCACCATGTAAGGTAACATTGAGCTGTTTGAGGAAGTAGGACATGGACAAGTTTAGGGAGTCATTATTCTGCCTACCACACCTATATTGTGAAATGGCCCTCAAATTCAGTAATCAATAATTAGATGAAAGGTAGACAAGAATGATGAATAAAAGGGAAATTCAAGTAGGCCTAGAGATGATTTTCAGAGCTATTTGCAATTATGCTTTTCTTGTTAGCCTTCATAGAGCTTATACCCTAATACATCATACTCCACACTCATTGAGAAGTTCCTGTGGCTAGAATGACTAACGGCATGCTTTGTCTTTTGTAGAATCCAGTGAACATGAAGACAAGAGTGCAGGTGCCTCAGGGGAGACACCCTCCCAGCCTTATCCTGCACCAGTGTATAGTCAGCCTGAGGAGCTGAAGGAGCAGATGGATGATGCAAAACCAACTAAACCTGAAGAGAATGAGGAGTCAGACCCATTGCCTGATAACTGGGAAATGGCCTATACAGAGAAGGGTGAAGTCTACTTCATTGAGTAAGTTTCACACATTTCTTTGGATATTGCCACAAAGATCATGGCAGCATATAAGTGATGCCGCACATAGAGATGTGGTCATAATAAAATGCTGAATTTTATTGTTCCTGGTATTAGCATCCTTCTTTGTTAGAGAATAGTGGATAGTGCCTTAATATAATTATATTATAGCTATAAATCAAAGAATGAATTAAACAATTGCACTGTAAAATTTGTTACAATTGTGACTGAAAAGGCAAATCTCTATGTGATGTTATTACTGAGTTGGAAATAATCTACCTATCATGGGAAATGCTTACTCTACTCTTTCAAGACCTCCGTATAGTCCAAATGAGATAATCCTATTTTTTAAGTAAGATTGCTAGAAACCTTTACCATCATGTTCAGTGACACAGCCATTTAGAGCAAAATACTTACTTGTCACAAAAGGCAACATTTTAAGTATTTCACCCAGAGGTCATATGTCAATAAAATCATTTAGTTTTGTATCATGTAACTATAAATCACACTCATATTTATTAATTTTATTCTATTTTTTTGCTTACCATTTTTATGACTGGCCAAGAAAACTGAAGTGCTAATCTTGAACTCCCTGGTGATAATGACTCAGCCTAATCTTTTATTGCCTTTTGGACTTTTTTTTTCCCCCAAACCGACTTCTAATATGTTTTATTTATTAACAATTCTGTCTATTTTCCCTTTATTTTCCAAGAGTAGAACCACTTTAAAAAACAAAACAAAACAAAAAACCAAGGTCCTAAGTGAGAGATCTTAGCACAAAATTAAATTGTTAGCATGCATAAGACAATCAAACTATTCATTAGGAAGAATAAAAACCAAAAAAAAATTGTAATGAACAACACTTATTCCCACAAACAAGACTCAAACAGAAAAATTAATAGAATCTGAAGTTTTCAGTGCTGACAGTAGATAAAAATATGTAACCTCTGATTATTCAAGAAAAAATATTAAAAGTAGATTTCCTTCCCCAACCTGGAGTGACGTGGGACTTAGATCTCCATAGGCAGAACTCAGTTGTGAAATTGAAATGTTACCACATGCCAATATTTAATTCTCATGTGAAGGTGGGAACTTTGATACATGTGGCCAAGGGAATATATAATGAGGTAATTACTTGGTGCTCTGCTTGACTCCAACACGGGATGAGAAATACAGTGTTTTGCAGAAAATGAATCTCTACCACTCACCTTTTGACAGATCTTGTAAATTTAAAAAAAGAATAAATATTTCTTGCATTATTTTTTATTGCTATAATCAATGACCCAAAGAAATCTTTTACCAATTAATTGGAAAAGAAGAAGCCATATGGAGTTTTTTAAATGCCAAAAAAGTATTTAAATCTAAAAACGTTACTTTGTTATTGATAAGTACAGCATGGGGCCACTCAAAGTATAAACCTTACATGTGAGTTCATACCTTGGTGTTCAGGAAAATTGATATCCAGAAGAAGGAGACCGATAGTATATACATTTTTGTTTATATAACACAGGAGGAGTAAGGGCATGTGGAAATAATAAAACCAACATGACAAGTTGATTAAAGAGCTGTTTCCTTATAAGGTTTCTAATAATGCAATTATAAAAATCTTTGTGATTACAAAATAATATTTTCTCCTTTAAATAGTGTCAGATTTTGTGATTGTGAAGAAGAGGGACTTTGAAAGATGATGTTGTGCTCATGGTATGTAGTAAGTGATGAGGCTCTGCAAGATATGAGAGAATGGGGATCCCTGGGTGGCGCAGCGGTTTGGCGCCTGCCTTTGGCCCAGGGCGCGATCCTGGAGACCCGGGATCGAATCCCACATCGGGCTCCCGGTGCATGGAGCCTGCTTCTCCCTCTGCCTGTGTCTCTGCCTCTCTCTCTCTCTGTGTGTGTGTGACTATCATAAATAAATAAAAATTTAAAAAAAAGAAAAAAAAAGGTAGAACGGCCTCACGTTAAAAAAAAAAAGATATGAGAGAATGTACCAAAATGATTTTGTTAATACTCGACTGAATTCAAAGATTCATAAGATTTCGTACCTGTTCTCAAGTTTATAGTTGAGATTTATTGTTCAAGTTGGGGAAGAGAGACATATAATTATAAACAATCAGTAAACAACTAATTTCTGAGTTTTATGATACTATTTGGAGAAGGATATGCTTAGCACAGACTTAAGTAATAAAAGGAGGCACCATTGGGAATGTGCGGTCATGCACACTTGGCAATGTGTAGACACAGGTGCTTTCAAAGACCCAGTCACTGGGCTTATCAGGGATAGTGAGAAGACCCTCTGACCCTACCAGGCAATAGATATTTAATGGTGAATCCTGTGAAATGATTGCTCTGTTTCCATTTTGCTAGATCATTAGTGCTTTGTTGCAAGTCAGGCTTTCTGTTACTTCAGGGAAGAATTAATGAGCAGAGGAACAGAGATAAGTGGAAGTGGAAAATTAAGATACAAGAGAGGATATAACTTCATTTTGGCAAGAAAGCTGATGCTGGGGAGACTCACCCAGAGTTTTGGAAAACGAAGAAGCCTCGAGTTAAGGCTGAAGTGGGAGTGTGATGGGAAGGAGTTTCCTGTAGAAGGCAGGTGTGAATGCCCTCCTTAAGGAGATTCCTCCACAGAATGGAGGCACCTCTCACCCCACCCTTCACCCTGGATCAGTTCGAGCCCCATCTTTTCTTTCTTGAAGAAGTCACCTTTGAATCCCATTCTCAGTGTGATGGTCTCACGTATCAGACTAGGCAGGAATCAGCGTCTTCTTCATCTGGTGCTTCATTTCCACACTATGAACATGTGCCTTGTGGTTTCCTTTCTCTTTGCCTGTATTTCACTCTGCTTTACTTTTCCCTCCATTTTTGCTGATTCTCTCCTGACTGCTTTCACTGTTTTGCCTGGAATACTTCTTCCCTTCTAACCGTGTGCGACAAAATCAGAACTTCAACCCACTGTCATTGACCTGTGGGTAACTTTGCTGTTGATATCACAATGAATTCTTTTTTTAAAGATTTTATTTATTTATTCATGGGAGACACAGAGGGAGAGAGACAGAGACACAGGCAGAAGGAGAAGCAGGCTCCATGCAGGGAGCCTGATGCAGGACTTGATCCCAGGACCCCAGGATCATACCCTGAGCCAAAGGCAGAGCTCAACCACTGAGCCACCCAGGCGGCCCACAATGAATCCTTTTGTGAATAGAAAAGGCCCTTGGAAACAGTCTGTTAGAGCAGGAATGTGACAGGAAAGGGATCATGGTGGGGCAATAAGAACTTTCTTGGGGACTAAGCAATGACGGGCCCCGGAATTTCTAGCCAAGAAACTTAGAAAACAAGTAGTACTTGTCATATAAAAGTTTGCAGCCCTGAAGCAAAGTCAAGGTAAAGAAAGAAGACAAAAAGGCCAGTAGAGTAAATTAAAAGACAGATAAAAGAAATGGAGGAGAAGATAGACGTGTGAAGTAAGGAGAGCTGGCGTCAGTGAGAACTTCCCTCTGGTACAAATATTGTGAGAGTCACTTATAGTAATAGAAGTCTCCCCTGGTAGGCAACAGCCCTCATTACACTTCACTGATTTCTGTCTCCTGTGAAACAAAGATTTTGGTAAAACAGAAGCAAGTGAAACCAAGGAGAAGGGCCCCGTGGTTCTGTGTATAAAATCTAAATACATGAATATAAATATCTATTTATTTACATTTATATACATACACATTTTTGGATGGAAGAGAGGAATTCCTCCTTGGTGAAATGTGAGCTCAGATATATCTTTTTTTTGAATTATATATACTGTGGGTTTTGAATTAAGATAACAAGTAATTCCATTTTTTGTCTTCTGTGCAGTAATATTTTAAAATATTTATTGATTTGTTCAGTATTGCAAAATACTTTATATGTCTCCGTACTTAACAAGTTCTGCATTTAGAAGATGAGGGATTTTCTTGTTTTCAGTACCAGAACACATGGGTCAACTATATTTCCCACTTTTCAGAACTGCATCCTTTGATGAATGAAAAGCAGATTCCTTTGATCATTAACAGTGGTATTTAATGAGAAAAGTGAATACCTGAGAAAGCATTTTTAACCAATGGAATTTTAAATTGTGCATGAATGTTCTCTTCTAAACACGCTTTAAAGCATTAATAATGTCTTATGTTTAGCAGTTTTCATAAGGCTTTGAAGTGAATAATATTGTTTAAAAGCAGTAATTTCCTTAATTCATAGCATCATCCTCATTAATAATGTCTTCTAGTACTTACATATTAAATAATTAATATGTACACTCATGATACGTATTAATGATACATTCAAACTAGTAATAATAATTATGACATACTGAGTGCCTACTTTGTTCAGGCTGTGTTCAGGTTAGACAATAATAGCTACTTTCTTAAGCACTTACACTGTGCTCACTTGGGAAGCTGAGGCTTGTGGAGGTAAGTCACTTACCTGTGGCCGTATAACCAAGAATTCACAAAGCCAAGATGCTTTGATGCCATTTACTCAACTCCTCTTTATAGGACACATGCCATGTGCAAGACACCATGTTAAATGCTGGGCATACAGTATTCAGCAAAGCTGACAAGAATCATACTGTCATGAGACACAGACTTTCTCCAGGGTCCTTGCTTTCAGTCATTTTGCTATGATGCCTACATTACATATACTATTTTGTAAGTACCTTGTGAGCATTTGATACACCTGATTTCATAGATGAGATTTTAAGGGATCCTTGGACAAATTAACATTTTTTTTATTATTCATGAGAGACACACAGAGAGAAAAAGTCAGAGATACAGGCAGAGGGAGAAGCAGGTTCCATGCAGGGAGCCCATTGTGGGACTCGATCCTTGGTCTCCGGGATCATGCCCTGGCCTGAAGGCGGTGCTAAACCGCTGAGCCACCCAGGCTGCCCCAACATTCTTTTTTTTTTTTTTTTAAGATTTTATTTATTTATTTGAGAAAGAGAGAGAGGGGAGAGCCCAGATGGAGAGGGAGAA